ATTCATTTTGAAATGGGCGCTACCTAACCAGGGCTGCGCGTCGAACTTCAGGGCTCGCGTCCTGGTTCGAATGAGCTCGCGATCCTGGCCGGTTGCCAGGGGAATCGCGAAGGGACCGGAAGCGGCGAGGATGAATAAAAAAGCCATACGCGAGCGTATCTATCATCGCGATACCTGTCAAGGTGCGACGGTGTGCGAGAGTACATGCGTACGTACGCGGCGCGGCCGAGAGAGGAACTCCGGTGCACGAGCGGCGAAGCTACGCGGGACGGACTCTTCGAAAATCATTCCGGGGGCAGACAGGTGGGGAGGAGAATCCATTCTCGACGCGAGAAGGCACGCAACATCAACGCCGACGAGTCGTTACCACTGCAGTGCGGAGAGTAAACTTCGTCGAGTGCATAGATTGTACACACTACGCGGGCTTCACCGCGCGACGTGTACGGCAGAAACGTAGTTACTGTATAGCAAGGATACGGGAAGTATAACAGTTTCATAAACCCATATTTCTCTTCCTCATACCACCGCACGTGGAAGAGCAAAATGCCGCGTAAAAACAGCAACCGCCGTATTCTCACTGGAATTGGAATTTCTACCTAGGGTATTATTAATGATTCGATTCTCGAAATCAGTTTTGCATTCATTAAATTACTCTTAATGTAATAATAATATGAGGATTTATAAATACAAGATAATAGATTTTATCTTTCTATTGTCATTTAACTGATTTTCTTTTATGCTGATTATCTTTTATGAGAAAAAAAAATGTATTATTAGAATAAAATTGAAGTCAGTTTTAATGATATTGGCTACGGAATTGTAAAAAAATATAGTTCTGCGAGAAAGAGTACTAAATTTCTAATTAAAGGGGAGAATTTTTATATAATTTCGCGTGTGCATTACATCGTTCCATTAAAATAATTAAACAAATCCGAACACAGGCGGAGCCTGCAGGGAAAAGTTTAACATTGTATCGATAACGACCGCTTAACTGAATGTACTTCTCGTCCTGTTTCATCGCGAATGTGGTAACACGTTAGATATACGTCCGAGTAGTGGGTCTCAACGTTCCGAGTGTGTTTGGGAATTAGGTAAAGGGATTCCACGGATTATATTCGGGAACTTCGAGCTCCTGGAGGATTTCGGACGGACCGAGGATCCTCGAGTTTCTCGGGACCACAAGTCAGGATAATAACGTCAAGGAAGAGCTGTCGTCGCCACCGTTGAGACAGATTCGTGATAGTCACGTGAAAAAAATTACAAGCGGAATCGGGACGAGGGCCCCCGTCTCTCGGCGCGAAATGCTGTTCTGGATTTTACAATATGTTTCGCGACCGCATATGCCGATATATAATTACATGGGACGCAATTATGTGGCGGCCCATTGTGACGACTTGGGAATGCATCAATTATTGCCGACCGCCGAACAAATATCGTCTAACCGCCCAATATTAACTATCATCGCTTTGGAACGTAGCATTGATCACGAATGAGTCATTAAATCGCTACGTCGTTATCATTGATTATCAATCGACGATGGAGTCAGCGAGTGATTATGCAATAAGGCACTCTCCATAACGTATGGAGAATTCGCTTCATTTTGTAATATAATGAAGATACAGATACAAAGAAACTTTCTGATATTATTGAGGAGAAAAGAAGGGGGGAGTAGAGAGAGAGAGAGAGAGAGAGAGAGAGAGAGAGAGAGAGA